ATCACCAGGTCTTTCTCCTGAGGAGCTGCTAGGTAGGTTCGAGCCACCAACCTTTCGGTTAGCAGCCGAACACTTAACCAGTAGAGGGGAGAAAAAGAAATGGGTGCTGGAATAAGGACGGAAGCTGGCAGTAGAATTGATAAAAATAGGGCATGGATTGATGGATGGATGGCTAGACTTACACAGGGAGGTAGAATGAATAGGAACTGTTAACTGATGAAATAGGGGGTTGAAAGCAAGTATTAGAGGTAACTTGGTGCCTAGAATTAAATTTGGCACAAGGTAAATAATAAATGTTTGGAAAGGAAAGAACAAGGAGAGGGAGGGAAATAATAAAGGTTTCAATTGTAGGTGACTGAGTAATTGAGCACCCCTGAGAGACGTAAAGGGATGAGTGCTGCTTTGGCAGGGGACACAATGGGTTCCAAGAGAGTTGCAATAATAATGTAAAGAAAAAGAAGCTTCTCCAAGGCCCAGAGACAGGCTGCTCTCTGTAGCCCCCAAAAAAAGCAAAATATAAATGGGGCAGTGAGTTATTGTTACAGAATCTCTCCTTTTTTCAAAGATCTCTACAACGGACCTTCTACAAATTACAAAGGCCCTACACATAGAAAAGAATAGTAAATTTTTAACAAGTAAATCAACATAGATGTCAATTCTGTTCTACTCTAAAGCAATAAGCAACTTGAGGGCTTGGACTGAACAATTTTCTTTTACCTTTCACAGTGTTGGGCACATACAAACACAAATGCACGTGGTCTTTTAAATTGAATAAACACACAAAAAATTAAATAGTTGAAACTTGATAGAACTAGTCATGTAGGATACTCACAGAAAACTGAAAACTGGAAGAGGAAAAATCAAATGATGCTAGGCAAATGAGAATGACTATTGACTCAAAGAGGAAAAAAAGAAATAAATTATTATACTTTGTGGTTGTATGATTCTACCATTTTAATAAAATACATTAGCTTCATTAAGTAATGAAATCACCTATGGATTCAAACCAAACTATGTGTCAAAGTCTAGTTTTAATTACAGAAAAGTATCAGAGAATTGGCAAAATCTTTAGAAAATGTGAATAAACATAAGCCAAGATGATTCATTTCCATGTTTCACAACTTAGTTCACTAGTGTGAAGGAGCCCTACAAATCTAGGTGCTTGGCATAAGGAGAGGCTTCTGCCAAAGATGTAGGCCTGACTTCATTTTTTTTACTTATTCTGATCAGACTCTCAAAAGTCAGCTAGCAAGAATACCTCAGGAAGCCTGTGGGCTCCCCTCCCCTCTCTTCCTTTCAGAGCATGCTACCAGGAAGGATACTCACTCAGACTGCCCCCATAATATCCATAAATTAATGACTCAAACTTTATGATTCACAAAACAATGCTTAAGGGATCTTTCACTTGTCTGGTGTCTGTTAAATCATGATTTTGTAAATGTCAACCAATCAGAATTTTTTCCTTGTAAGTTCCTGGATTTTCTGTACTTAAATTCTTGTGAAAAATTCCTTTCACTGGAGTACTTCTGTGAATTCTCACGAAGTGCTGCCTGATTCGGATCGTTCTATTCCTTCAATAAACCTCTTTGCTTTAATTTTAACAGAAGCTCTAGTTCACTCTTTGACAGAAGCCAAGCCTTCTCCCTACTCAAATCTAATTCACTCCCTTTCCCATCATTAAGGAGACCACAGCTATGAAAATTAAATTTACATTACTGACCTGCCAGTGCCCACTGCTATCAAGTAGATTCTGACTCATAACAACCCTACAGGACAGAGTAGAACTGGCTCCACAGGGTTTCCAAGGAGCGGCTGGTGGATTTGAACTGCTGACCTTTTCGTCAGGAGCCAAGCTCTTAACCACTGCACTACCAGGGCTAGGAAGCATAATTTTGCATTACTTTTTCCCAACACTATTGGTGGATTTATAGAGGATTTAAACTCTCAGTATTTATTGCTGGGATTAGCCCGCTGTATTATGAGACTCTTCAGCTGTCATGGACTAAAATAAAACTATGTCCTAAGAGTTGGTAAACACATTTTCATCAATTAGATTCAGACTCTCATAATTTGAGAATTTGTTGGTTCACTAATATTTTCATAAATGAACTCTGGCATCTTGGAAATTAGTAACTTTCATTTAAAATTTTTGATTCAAGTTTCAAGTACAATCAAATTCTTACTCCAGTAAAGTACAGATAACATGACCGAGGGGATAGGGCTATGCACTTGTGCAGTAACGAATCACCTTACAAAAAACCAACTTGGCCTATGTCCTTGGTTCCTGAGAAATAATCCTTGGAATTACCTGAGTAAATGAGGTGCCTTTATTATCTAAAACCTCCAGACCACACTTGAAGATTTGTGCTAATGAGTGAGGGCTGCCAGACCAGAAAGACACCTGGTAGTCCCGTATCAACTAACCTCAGGAGGCCTGATTTAACCCATCATGCATACACAACGAGGCTTCAATCACGACTACGTAATGAAGCTAACAAAAGCTCTGAACAGGAGGCTCCAGAGAGCATCCTGGTTGTCATGTCCTCTTTGAGATATGGAAGCTTCGCATTAGGAACCTTCCCAGGCCTTTCCCATGTATCTCTTCCTTATGATGATCCTAATTTGTATCCTTTTGCAGTAATAAATCTTTAATCATAAAGACAGTACTTTCTGCGAGTTTTGTGAGTTGTTCCAGGGAACCCAAAGGAGTAGTGGCAGCCAGCAAGTGAAGGCTCCTGAGTGGGAAAAGCCCAAATTTGCAGCCAGCAGGTCGGAAGTAAGGGTGTCATGTAGACCCTTGAGTTTGCAGCTGGCATCTGCGTATCCGGCAGTCTGAGAGACAGCGAGTGTGCTTTTAACCAGGTAGCTAGGGGCAGAAAGAGGGAGTACCTTGGAGGCAACTGGTGTCAAAGATGACTGACAAGGGGAAAAGCAGGGATTTGATTAATCTTTACATTTTGGGGACTGGATTTATGTTGATTCTTATCCATGAAGCACTTATATTTTTATTCAGTTAACAAATATCTGTGCCAGGCCCTGAATCCTAAGGACATACAGATTACTACATGTAAAGACTATGAAGGACTTAGTCTTTTAGAAGGAGACAAACTCAAGTCTGGTAAAGAAGGAATCATGAGAAGTTTCGTAGAGGAAGTAAATCCTGACGTGAGCTCTGAATAACAAAAAGGGACTCTATATGACAAAGCAGAACTGCCCGACAGTTTCCAAGGAGTGGGTGGTGGATTGGAACTGCCGATTTTTGGTTAGCAGCTGTAGCTCACCGTAGCTCTTAATCACTGCACCACCAGGCCTCCAAAAGGGAGAAAGAACACTAGAAATACAGATGTGTGCAATAAACCGGGGATGGCGTCAAGAAGGACACTTCAGCAAGAAATGAATCAGAATGCAGAGAAGGCAAACCTGTGGATCGCTCTACAAAGCCTTTCTTAATATCTTCTCTAGTCCACCCAGGTAAAACTGACTACTCATACAGTAGGCACTTAACAGGTGGTGAAAGAAAGAAAGACTGGGGGTGGGGTGGGGGTAGGGGAAAGGGTGCAGGGAGAGGCAGGCCATGAAAAAGGGGAGGGTGGAGAGGAGGAGGAAGAGAAGGAAATTCTGTATGTGTGGGATGGTTCAGGTTAGCTCTGGTAAGGTAATAAATGACTGTCACCTTTGGATATTTTCCCAACTTCTATCAAAAGCAGTTCCATAATTACTCAGGTCTGCTATATGTTAGTTTAGACAATAGTAACTTACCTTATCATTAAACAAGATTATAGTTGTTAGGACTCTATTTTAAGAGTCAAAACATCTTTACATGACTACCTCCATTTTGAAGTTGCATGCTTGTAAGCAACTTAAGAACAGAAGGAACATATTAAACTCTTTTTAGAGGCCCTATAATACCTAAGCCCTTGCCTTGTACCTAAAACATCCTCAATATTAAAAGTGTGAAAAAGTTATCATGTAATTGTATTCTATCAAAATTAAATTTTCTTGATTTTGATAATTGTATTAGGGTTATATAAGAGAATGTCCTTGTTCTTAGGAGATACACACTGAAGTAATTATGTGCAAAGGTGCAGGATGCCTAAATTATGAGTAAACAGGATACTCTCAAATTATTCAGAAAAATACATAAATAATGTATACGAGTACATATATGATATATAGAGAGAGCAAGAGCGAGAGAGAAAGACAGTGAAATAAACAAGTAAGCCAAGTTGCTTCCTAGCTTTTCACTTACTAGCTGTGTGACCTTAGGCAAGATATTCTGCAAATGATGCTGCCCAGCTACCATCAATTTCTCTGACTGGGAACACAACAGAGGGTTCTGGACAGAGCAGGAGAAAATTATAGAACAAAAAATCAAATTCACAAAAAAGACCAGACTTACTGGTCTGACAGAGGCTGAAGGAACCCCTGAGACCATGGGCCTAAGACACCCTTCTGACCTGGAACTGAAGCCATTCCTGGAGACCACCTCCCAGCCAAACAACAGACAAGCACATAAGATAAACAGTAACGACCGAGAGGAATGTACTCCTTAGAACAATCCAATTGCATGAGATTATCTGCCCACAAGCAAAGATGAGAAGGCAGGGAGGGGTAGAAAGTCATGATACAAGAAAATGGGGAAACCAGGGAAGAAATGGGGAGAGTGCTTACACATTGTGGGGAATGAAATCAAAGTCACGGAACACTTTACATACAAACTATCGAATGGGAAACTAATTTGCTCTGTAAACTTTCACCTAAAGCACAAAAAAAAAAAAAAAAGAATCAGGGACACTGGAAAAAAAAATATATTCTGCAAATGAGAGATAAAGCAAATGGGGCAAAATGTTAACAACTGTGAATGTGGATAATGGATATATGTACTACTCTTACAACTTTTCTGTTAACTTTGAAATTATGGCAAAATATTACCAAAAAAGTTAACCGCTCACATACACACACAGAGTAACAGTTAGGCAAAATAATATAAAAATACTCACATGGAATTGAACATTCCCATTAGGGCAGTAAAGCAAAAGCCAATTGCAAACATCGATTTCATTCGAACCTGTAAAGAGCCAAACAAAATGGTCATTTTACACTAAAAAAAAAAAAAAAAAAAGCTACTAATGCACACCCCCAAAAGTTTTGGCTTCATGTCATTTTTAAAAGGCTTTTGTTAGAAAAAAGCTGTTTGTTAGCTAACCCACCCTCCACTCTAATACCTCTTCTCCTTGCCACCTTATAGTACTGAGGATGCCAGGTGACCTAATTCTGATCAATGAGTTATAAGTAAAAGTACTGGATGGGTTTCTGGGAAAAAAAAAAAAATTTAAGGGACAAACTTGGCTGGCATCCCCTTAGGCCTTTTGCTCATTCTTCTTCCTGCCTGAAATGATGAACGTAATACCTGGAGGTGAAGCAGCAATTATACAACTAAAAGGACAAAAGCCTTAAACTAAGGCCAGCAAAGCTCAGGTCCTTGATGGCATTACGGAGCTGATACTCCAGCCCAGGGCTGCCAACATGTGGACTTCCTGCATGAAATAAGAAACCTTTATCTGTTTAAGCTAATATATCAATATTTAGGTATTCTGTTACTGGCAGCAAAATCTTTTCTTAATTATATAAGTGTCTTAATTCAAAAATATGTAAATAAACAAGAGATCATAAGGATATAAGATTAACAGATGTTATCTCTGGATGGTTGGTTTATGGGCAATTTTTATCTCTTCTTCCTTCTATAGCTTCCAAATTTGCTATGATGAACATGTATTGTTATTTTTTACAACAGGCACTCTTAAATTATAATTTTTCTTAATTAATAAGAATTTTAAGATCTCTCAGTAAGTGAAAGAGAGCTGTTGCACAGTTCAGACATCCTGTGTTAAATACACAGAAGTAGAAACTTAGTCAAGCAATGTAATTAGCCTAGCTATACCTTAGAAGGAGCCCTGGTGGCACAGTGGTTCAGAGCTATGGCTGCTAACCAAAAGGTGGGCAGTTTGAATCCACCAGCCGCTCTTTGGAAACCCTATGGGGCAGCTCTACTCTATCCTGTAAGGTTGCTATGAGTTCGAATCAACTCAATGGCAATGGTTTTTTTATACCTCAGAAAGACAAGCCTGACTGAACCCTACTCTATAAATAATGAGTAGATGGGTAATGAAATCATATTTCCTTACTCTTTACCGCATGTCCAACACTCAGAACAAAAGGCACTAATAAAAGCCACCTATAATATTCAACTTCTGTGTTGAGATTACACAGGTCAGCATAAAAACCAAGGATTCAGCATTAATAAGATAGAAAAAGAAAATAAACCACTTTGTTTAAAAACACAATCAGGAAACTAAGAAAGCAATGTGTGAAGGGGATAAATTATGACCCCCAAAGACAACCTTAAAAGGCCAGTTATGTTATTAGAATGAAGTTTAAGAGTAGTAGCATATTTTTACTTCCGTGTGGTCTAGGAACACCCATATATTATGTATAGCATACACACACTACACATTTCTGAAAAGGTAAGTGTAATGTGCTTGATGCAAATCAGGGTCTTTTGCTGAAAATATTAAGTGGTTCACCACAAAGTTATTTAGGATTCTTACCATCGATAGATCTCTGTTGTTATTTTTTAGTTTCTCTTCTTGCCTCTCTGAAAAGAATTAATGAAATGGTTAATATACACAGCACTGAGCACAAAGCAGATGTTAAATAAACTGTCACTGACTGGTGATTACAAAAGCAGTTCTGTCTTAATATCACTTAATAAGATGAAGTGAATACCTGGAATCTTGTATACTTTGTACTAAAAAAAAAAAATTCAAATATAGCAGAGTACCAAAACATTTCAATTTAAATACATAAAAATCTTTAAAGTTTAATTTTGAAAAAAATTACCTCTGGTATTATATGCCTTAACTCTCTAGATATTTTTTACATTACACCAATGGAAATGGCCAATCAGTTGATTCTTAAGTGTAAACATACGATTGTATGTAGATGTCTCAAATATTAATTACTCAAGACTTCTAGGAGGGCTGTGCTTCCCAATCTCTTTCATACGTTATGTTGACATAAGGTGAAAATGTGTTCTGTATCTCTCTTGAGGATCAGGAAATTAAGGGTGCTGGAGCCCTGGTGGCACAGTGGTTAACAGCTGGGCTGCTAACCTAAAGGTTGGCAGTTCGAATTCACCAGCCGCTCCTTGGAAATCCTATGGGGAAGTTCTACTCTGTCCTACAGGGTCGCTATGACTAGGAATCGACTTGATGGAAACAGGTTTGGTTTTTTGTTTTGTTTTTTGAGGTGCTGGAAATATAGCGTATGCCATTTAATGTTCACTTGCCCTATGTGAATTACTCTTTATCTTATATAATCCAGAACCTCAGGATTTAACACAGGGAGAATCATGCCTCAATTCTTCCTTTTGGATGGAATTCTATCCATCTATTACTACTGAGGGGCCCCGGTGGCACAGTGGTTAAGCATCTGGCTGCTAACCAAAATGCTGGCGGGTCAAATCCACCAGCCACTCCTTGGAAACCCTACGGGGTAGTTCTACTCTGTCCTATAGGGTCGCTATGAGTTGGAATTGACTCAATGGCAGTGGGTTTGGTTTTTTTGATTTTATTACTACTGAACTTTCGGATTAAACCTCCATGAGATTTGAGGAAATTTCATGATGAGAACAATCTGGACACATGAAGAAGATACATTTATACTCTATAATGATTTATTATCCAAAATAGGAAATTAACAGCGGAGCCTTAACCTCAAGACCCCACTACCTGGCTTCACCTCACTTACTGTGCTTGCAGGACTTGCTTTAACACAGTTCCTACATTCCTGTTTGTTCTGCTGTTCCTGAGTTTCTGATTACATGTATCCTTAAAATAAATCCCTCACTACTTGAGGTAACTTGTATACAGCCAAAAATTCCTAAATGAAATTCAGATACCAAAAGTAAATTAGTTTCTCTTCTGTGAGAGGGAAATGTAAAATAGTCGAAACATCTGCTCCTGCCATTAAGAATGAGGAACTTTTACAAAAACTTCAGTTTAAATGCAATAGACACCCAGTTTCATATTAACGGCTATACGAAAGACTATATCAAAGAGCTTCACACAGTGAAGTCCAGTGACACTTTGCTTCTCTAGAACAGAGTACTGCTGACCACTTCCCTCTTCCTGAGAACTCCCTTCTTGCAGCGCAGCAGCAGCAGCACGCTTCACAGCCCCCAAATACTCCATATATTTTTGTAAATATTCTCAAGTGGGGAATCTGAGCAAAGGGAAAGTAATGGTTGGATGATAACAAAACTGTAGATAGGATCAATAGACAGAAATACATTTAACTGGACCTAAGAAGTTGCTGGAGATGAACAGCAAATCTGACTAGGCTTATTAGCAGCCAATTCAAAGGGAAAAAAAAATCAGCTCAAGCATAGCGCTCATAAAATAAAAATATACCAATTGTTTATGAGAATTTATGCTTTTCCTGACATTGAAAACCAGTAGAAATCATTTCCAATGAGCACTGGGTGATATGTGGATAACGTTCTCAACAATATTCCATGTAAGTACAACAAACTGTACCTAGCTGGGTTTTTCACAATGTGCCTAATGGTGCAAATGCCAAGGTGAAATACAACAGAAGCAAGTTTACAAAGTCCAAAATAATGCAGCTTAGGTTTACAGAATTCTGACAGTCTGGCTTAATCTGAGAGTAAAATTTACACTAACTAAAGAGTGGATCCACCACCTGTCAGTTTGTCCTACTGGGTGGCTCGCATGTTGCTATGATGCTGAAAGCTATGCCACTGGTATTTCAAATACCAGGAAGGTCACCCATGGTGGACACGTTTCAGTGGAGCCTCCGGACTACGAGAGGCTAGGAAGAAAGCCTGGCAACCTACTTCAGAAAATTAGCCAACAAAAACCCCATGGATCACAACAGAACATTGTTCTTTGGATGCGTCATCAGGAGAGACCAATTGCTAGAGAAGGACGTCATGTTTGGTGAAGTGGATGGCTGACGAAGGCAAGGGAGATCCTCAATGAAATGGGATGACACAGTGGCCACAACAATGGGCTCAAGCATGCCAGGGATTGTGGGGATGGCACGGCACCAGGCAGCGTTTTGTTCTGTTGTACACGGGATTGTCATGAGTCTGAGCCGACTCAATGGCAACTAATAACAACAAGAGAATGGATAGGTTGTGGGTCCTTCAAGCAACTCTTCATAAATATTATGTCTTGTAACTTCTGATAAGGTTTTGATAAGCAACTCTTTACAAATATTATTTCTTATAAATTCTGGTGAAATGTTTTTTGGTGAGCAATCAAGGTTGCATTCCATGTTAAGATAATTTGAATTAAGATATTTTGTATTGTCAGTTTAAGGGCAGAGGGTAATCTGCCTTCCATTTTTATATCTTCCCTATCCATTTTTATATTTTCCCTATACTTTACAGCAAAGCTACTTTAAAGAGCTGTCCATATTCAATGTCTTCACTTTCTCACCATGCATTATTTTCTTAATCCACAGAATCTGGCTTCTGTCCCCATCATGTCACTGGAACTATTTTTGCTAAAATCACCATTAGGCATTTACACCCATCCTCGGATCCCTCCTCCTTATGAAATACTCCCTTCAACTTCTCTCCTTTCTAACTTCTCTGGCAATACTTTTCCAGAGCATCACTTCTTCAACTATCCCTTAAACTCCTGTGTTTCCCCAAGGCTCTCTCCATCTTCAACCCTCTGCTCTTCTTGCCCTATATGACCTCATTTACCTTGCTGACTCAATTACTACTTATAATCAAATTATTCTAAAATCAATCTACAGCCCTTATCTGCCAGTTCCAAAACTGTACATCCAACTGTGTACCAAATATTTCTACCCTACTGCCACACAGGAGGAGCCCTGGTGGTGCAGTGGCTGAGAGCTCAGCCGCTAACCAAAAAGGTTGGTAGTTCGAATCCACCAGCTGCCCCTTATAAACCCTACGACGCAGTTCTACTCTGTCCTATAGGGTCACTGTGAGTCGGAATCGACTCGATGGCAATGGGTTTGGTTGGTCACACAGGTACTTCATATTCAACATGTTCAAAACTAAAACTATCTTCTCTTTTCCTCCCCACTCTAATCTGGTACTCCTCCAACATTTTCTCTCCAAATCAGAAATCTGGGCCTCTTCCTAGACTCATCCCTCTCTCCATACCCTACACCTAAATGTCATCAAGTCCTATTACTTCTACTTCCTGTATAGCCTTTGAATTTTACCGTATACTCCTTTGCCACTAACATTGACCAAGTTCAAGTTCTCACCATTGTTATGCCTGGGATACTTTAAGAGGTTCCTGACTTCCTTGCCTTCAAAATGGTCCCCACTCCAAATTATTCTCAGAGTTGTCTTCCGTAAAATATGATGTTAATTCTCAGCTAAATCCCTTGATAGTTGCCTGATGCATTCTGGATACAAGTTAAATTTCTTATTTTAACTTATAAATACCTTTACGGACTAAAATAATCAAACAAAAAAATTCAAACCCATTGCCGTCAAGTCAGTTCCAACTCATAATGACCATGTAAACAAGAGTAGAGCTGCCCCATAAAGTTTCCAAGGCTGTATATCTTTTTTTTTTTTAATTTTTTTATTGTACTTTAGATGAAGGTTTACAGAACAAATAGTTTCTCATTAAACAGTCAGTACACATACTGTTTTATGACACTGGTTAACAACCCCATGACATGTCAACACTCTCCCTTCTCAACCTTGGAGAACTTTTTTTTTGGTGAAAATATACATAACCAAAGTTACACCATTTCAAAAGCTTCTACATGTACAATTTAGTGACATCGATTACATTCTTCCAGTTGTGCTGCTATTCTCACTACCCGTTTCCAAATTATTCTATCACCATTATCTTCAACTCACTGCCCCCAGGGTTCCCATCAAACCTTTTGAGTTGCTATTGTAAGTTTTATCTCACATAGATAATTCTTAGATGAAGGTTTACAGAACAAATAGTTTCTCATTAAACAGTCAGTACACATATTGCCCTATGACAATGGTTAACAACCCCACGACATGTCAACACTGTCCCTTCTCAACCCTGGGTTCCCTATCATCAGCTTTCTTGTCCCCTCCTGCCTTCTAGTCCTTGTCCCTGGACTGCTGTGCCTCATTAGTTCCGTTTTGTTTTATGAGGTTGTGCAATCCCTGGCTGAACAGTGAACTTCAGGAGTGACTTTACCACTGAGCTAAAAGGGTGTCTGGAGGCCATACTCTCAGGGTTTCTCTAGTCTGTGAGGCCAGTAAATCTGGTCTTTTTTTGTGAGTTAGAATTTTGTTCTACATCCTTTTCCAGCTCATCCAGGACCCTCTATTGTGATCCTGGTCAGAGCAGTCAGTGGTGGTAGGCGGGCACCATCTAGCTGTACTGGACTCGGTCTGGTGGAGGCCTTGGTAGCTGTGGTCCATTAGTCCTTTGGACAAATCTTTTCCTTGTATCTTATTCTGTTCATTCTCCCTTGCTCCCAAAGGGCTGAGACCAGTGGAGCATCTTAGATGGCTGCTCACAGGCTTTTAAGACCCCAGACGCTACTCACCAAGGTAGAATGTAGAACATTGTCTTTATAAACTGTGTTCTGGCAACTGAGTTAGATGCTCCCCGACACCACGGTCCCCACAGCCCTCTGCCCAGCAATTCAGTTCCTTAGGGCCAAGGCTGTAAATCTTAATGAAAGCAGACGCCACATCTTTCTCCTACAGAGTAGCTAGTGGGTTAGAACCTCTGATCTTTCAGTTAGCAGCTGAGCACTTACTTACTTATTTCTCTAGCCTCATCTGCCTGAACATTTACACATACCTTTTATTTGTCATACTAAACTATTCGCTATTTTACTCCTCAATGCTTCTGTATATGCCTATCCTTCTGCCTAGACTGTACGTTAAAAATGGGGACTCTAGAGTCATAAATTATGAGGTTCAAATCCCATACCTACCACTGACTAGCTGGTTAGGAATGACCTTGAGCAAGTTATTTAACTTAAGCCTCAATGTACTCATCTATAAAGATGGGATCATACTGTTCCCTTCCTTACATAACTTAAGAAAATTTTAAAAATATGTAAAGTGCTTGGTACAGTAGATGGTAAATAATCAATAAATACTGACCAGTATTATTTTTTATTTACATTTTTATTTAGCTAACTCACACTAAAGCTTCAAGATTCAGCTAAAGCATTACCTTTTCAGGGATACCTGATCCCCTAGGCCGATTTGGATATCTTTTCTCTTTACTTTTACAACACTCAGAATATCTCCCTATAAGTGTACTTATTGAACTGCATACTGATCATTTATCTTTTTGTCTGTTTTCCCTCTCTAGACAGAGCAACTAGAAGTCAGAATCTTTTTCTACTTTGTTTTTCCAGTGCCTAACAGTTACTGAGACATACAGAGTAGATGTACAATAGCATCTTACCACAGAACTAAATGAATAGGTCATTTAAGACAGTCTGATATCCCTGCACTAAACTGAGAAGCTTTAATTGGAACAGAACATTGACACAGTCCAGCCTGGTGCAGTTGCCCCTGGGCTATAACAGCAGTAATCTAGGTATAACAACAACAACAAAAAACCCAAACTTATTGCCATCGAGTTGATTCTGATTCACAGAGACCCTACAGGACAGAGCAGAACTGCCTCACAGGGTTTCCAAGGCTATGATCTTCATGAAAGCAGGCTGCCACATCTTTCTCCCACAGAGTGGCTAGTGGGTTCAAACCGCCGACCTTTCGGTTACCAGCCAAGCACTTAACCATTTGCCACCAGGGCTCCTACAAGCTAGGAACAGAAACACAGTTTCTGAACCAAATACATAATTTCATAAAATTTTTCTGATTTCAGAATCATAAAGTAGTACAAAGTATAAATGTAATTCATATCTAGTTACTATGAATTATCTTTTTGGAACAGAATTACTGAAAGTCTAAATTACACTGAAAAAACAAAAACATATGGTCATCATTTCTCAAACTAGATAAAAATTACTCAGCAGAAAATCTCCTACCCCTTGGTGGGTTTCCATTACTAGTCAGTGTTCAGTAAGGAAGCCATGGCACCAATAAGTACAAGTAACTCAGAGCTGACTAAAAATAACCATCTCAGATGTGAAAAAATATATATACTTTACAAACCGCTAAGAACCCTCAGTCAAGTTCAATAGCCACAATTGTGAACACTATTTTACTAAAACTGAAAACTTCAAAGGTAGGAACAATTGCTTGAACTTATCCTATCTACCTAGCATAGTTGTGAGAATCAAGTGAGATAATGTATGCATGTGCTTTGTAAACTGTCAAATTAAACAAATGTGTATTATCACTATTAACTATTTTATTTTCATCATCTAAAATTCTACTTTTTTTAATAAAACCTAAATTTTGTAAAGACCAATATCTCATCTTACCTATTTTCTTTTTCTGTTGTCGACCAGCTGACTCTGTTATCGTTTCCTTCTTCTTTTCCACTGTAAACATAGTAATATAGGAAAAATTAATTATTACACTAAAGAAACAAAGGATGCTTTACAGCTGCTGAACCAATGAAAGAAACTTTAAAAAAAAGTAATATAATGACTTTGATTACGGCCCTTGTTAAGTCAACTGGCCTGCTCCCACACGTGCTGACAGTAAAGTGTAGACAGGACATTCAAAGACTAAAACACTAGTGTAAAGCACTGTTAGTCAAACACCATAAAGGACTGTATTAAGTCATAATCATAATCAAAACCAAGATGATTTCGAGACCATGAGCTGAGGATGGTTACCTTAGGTAGAGTCTAGGCACAATTTTCAAATTCTGTTCTCTCAGATGACTAGGGCTAATTGTAGTCCATTCTTCATATTTACTATGGAAGGTACGAAGTCATTCATTCTGTTATTGGGTTCCTAAATAACAGGCACTGTTCTAGATAGATAAAAAAGACAGGCCACGATCCTTGTTCTCTAAAGAGCAATCCAGTGAGGGCAAATCATCAAATAACAGTTATAGCACAGAAAAGTGGTAAAACAGACACATGCACAGGGTAGAAGAATGAGGAGAGCCAAAAAAGCTAAGACCAACCTTTCAACTAATATGACAACAGAGTAACAATGAGCTTTTGAAAAGGAATAGTGTAATGCTTTATTTTATATTTACTATCTCTAGTCACCTGTGAATGGACTACTAAGATATATCAAAAGTTACCTTTACTTAGTATACTTACAATATCTGTTCCCAATATTTTCTTAATATAGTTACTTTGTGAGCAAAGAGTACTGCATATACATTATTTCTAAAAGTTGCATTAAAGAAAATTGACAGGTAGGACTCTTTCCCTTAATGCATTAAGTAGGCTGCCTAAAACCTAAAAGCAAAACTGGTATTACTGCTTTGTTAACAATATGAAAAATTCAATTTGACTTCAATATTTCAAATGAAATCTTAAACTGCGGACTAAAAAATTGTGTGTGTGCGTGTGTGCGTAGAGAGAGAGAAAATATGTTTTAGGATGAACCTGCTTGAGAGAGGTCATGAAAAGAAATTAAGTCAAATTCCATGAGACTGTTATAAAAATAACATTTTTAAAATACAAAATAGACAGGAAACACTGAATGTTTTACTCTTTATCATTATTATTAGCCAAAGAAAGAAAAATATTTCTTTCCTACCCTGGAAGGATTATAACACAACTACTTGGCATTTAACGATGACTACATTAAAAACAAAGGCAAAACAAGACAGAAAACTAAAAAACAGAAACATAAGATGATACCATGAGCATTAACCTAACCTTCCGGCAGGCCCGATTTTTGAGACTTAGATAAATATTTTCTAGGGATAAGATAAATTAATCTAATGTTTTTCAAACTTCATGAGATTGTGAAGAAACCCTTTTGTGTTGATATTTATTCACCAAAACCTCAATCCCATAACAAGAATTAGAGATGTCAGAGTAGACAAAAGCAAAAGATGTCCACAACAAAACACGTCATTGCCCATGACCTGCCACTGCTTCATGCTGAATTTCAGAGTTGTATCAAAACAGTTTATAAACTACTCTAAAAGCTTTATCCTGTTTCACTGTAAATAGAAACACCTTCTACTTCACAGTAACTTTTAGTTAAGTCTCTCAAAAAATCTTGTTATAAGAATCAAGTTAAATATACTTTAATCTTTCTCATTTTCTAAAGTGTTCTTTTATTAATCTATTTTACAGCAGTAACACAATGAAAGAAGTCCTACCAATATTGAAAGCACACTATAAGCCTAGAAACTACCTGAATCAACCATCTTGGTACCTTGTGAGAAAGCATATCTTTCATCAAAGGCTCCACTTCAGCAGAACTGCTTTTTGGATGATACCACTATTCTCCAAATAATGCCAAGGATCAGACCAGCGTGAGAAAAGAAAGCTAGATCCAATTTTGACTGAAACCCACTTCTATTTTTTTGTATTCATCAAAGACTCTACAGACTTCTCTTGCTTAGATCCATACCAAATTCTGAATACAGAATATCAGAAAAGACTATATATTTGGAATTAGAACTTCTGTTAAAAGAGAGAATTTATTTTATATTCTTTCTTTTAAATAACCCCCATGCTAAATACAGTAGTTTCCACTTGATTATAAACTCCTAGAAGATAGGATCTATGCCCATTCATTTTGATTTGCACTTATCATGGTAAATTTTACGTATGTAATAGAAATACAAGCAATCAATCATATATGTCAATTGATCATATAAATAAGATATGCTTATTGACTGTTGATAGATTACTCAAAGGAGAGGATGTAAGAACATAAAAAAATGCCATGAGTCATTCCAGTTATCACCAACCTACTTCATACTTATTTTCAAAGTAAGCATATTAAGGAATTATATTAAACATTACAATTATGAAAACTTCGCCTGGTAACTATATTACTTTGAATTTAGGTACAGAGTAAAGGAGACTTTTAATTTATTTCTATAATGCAAAAAATTAAAGGCACTAATTATCTTTAATTAGTGGGACACTAAAGTAGCCCAACATCTTCAGGGCAAATCCACATTTATATGAAGTATGAGGATATTTATTCAAACAAATTTGAAGCTAAATTTGCTTTGTATTTTGTAAAACTACTCAACGATATATGTGACACGAAAAAACTTGTATTTGCATGCCATTGCATGCTGGCTAATTAGTGTATGATCAGAGCAGAAAAATTTCACAAAAATGTGCAATGTTATGCTATAGACTTATTCTTTAATCTAGTCGATAAGCTTCTATCAAGTATCTACTCTACACCAGGCGTTTTGTTACAATGGGAATACAATAGCCTTCGCCTCTTAGAAACTGCAGTTTAGTTACAGAGACGTTATTTTAATAATCATAATCACAGAGGTAAAATTGCAATTATCACAAGTGATCTAAGGAGAGGCATACGGATAAATTAAAGTCTATGGTAGGAAGATATGAGCCTGTCTGGGAGGCCAAATAAGGCTTTGAGATATGCAGAATGAGTAGGAGTTTACTAGACAAAATGAGAAGGGAAAACTATTCTAGAGAACAGTAGATACAAGGCTCCATAGTAGGAAAAAGCAAGACTAATACAAGAGACTGAAAGACAGCCTGAGGGACTAGAGAATAGCGAGCAAGGGAGAACATGATACAAGATGCGGCTAGAGAGGGAGGAAGGGAGCCCCAGACCATAATGGGCTTTGCAGGCCATGTATTTATCCTAAAAACAATGGGAAAAAATAGAAGTGTTTTAAGAAAGGTAAGTAACATAATCAGATTTGTGTTTTGAAAAATTACTCTACATGTACTGTAGAGAACAAATCTGAGTAGATGTAGGTAGACAAATGAGCAGGCTACTGCAGCAAATCAAATGAGACATGACAGAAGTTTGAAGTAGGTGGTGATAGCAGAGATGATGATGTGGAAAGATGTGAAAACTATTAAGGAGGCCAACAGAAACAGGGTGTGATAACAGACTGTTTATATGGGGTGAGAGAAGACAGTATTCAAATCAACAAATTATTTATTAAATCTTTACTCTGTGCCAGGCACTATTCTGGCTGCACGGGATAAATCAGTGAACAACAAAAAGGAACTGTGAGCTTTCATTCTAGCAAGTGGAAATAACAAGCACTAACACAATAAATAAGTAAATTACACAGTACATTAAAAGGTGATAAGAATTATGGGAGCTCAGGAGTATTAAATGATAGGGGAGATGGGCAGGTTGCAGTTTTAAATAGGGTGGTCAAGTGAAGCCTCGCTGAGGTGAGCTTTGAATAGATTTGAAGAAGGTAAGAGGGTCAGTCAAGCAGATATTGTAGGGAAAAAACATTCCAGGAAGGGAGAACAGCCACTACAAAGGCACAAGTGTGGCTGGTGTGTGGTGATAACAGCACACAGACCAGTTTGAGTAGAGCAGAGTGAGGGAGGAAGAAAGAACATCAGAGCAGTAGGAAAGGGAAGCTTTGCAGGCCACTGTAAGGACTTTGGCCTTTCCTCTGAATGAAAATGGGGCACCATCACAAAGTTTTGAGGAGAGGTGGGACATGATCTGATAGGCTTTCAAAAGGATTATTCTGGCTATTAATTTGAGAAGAGACTTCTGGGAGAAAGTGATGCCTATCAGAGGCAATCGCAATAATCCTGGCAAAAAAATGATGGTGGCTTAGACCATGATGGCTAACAATGGAGATGGCGAAAACGGTCAGATTCAGTGTATATTTTAAAGGTAACTCAACAGTATTTACCAACAGACTGGATGCAGTTGTGAAAGAAGAATCAAAGGTTAATTATGGCCTGAGCAATCGGAAGGACAGAACTGCCACTGACAAGACGAAGAAGGCTGCAGAGAAAGCAGCCTTGGAAGTGAGGAACAAGAGTTCAATTTTGGATATGTTAGGCTTAAGATGTCTGTTAGACATTCAAGTGGAGATGACACATTGATAGTTGGATATTTGAATCATATACACAGGAGACAGAGCTAGAGATATAAATTTGGGGGTCAGTGGTGAATAGAGCACATAAATGAATTCACTGAGGGAGTGAGTATAAAGAAAAAAACCTAAAAGTTTAGGTCAGCCCAACAACAGGAGATCAAGAAGAGAAGCCAACAAGGAAATTGTAAAAGAATGACCAGTGACGTAAGAGGAAAACCAAGAGATGATGGTGTGTCCTGGAAGTCAAATGAAGAAAGTGTATCTAAGTTTCTGGCTGGCACTACTGGAAGCATTGACCTAATATTCACCAAAATAGGGTAATCGTGGAAGAAGATCTCATTTGTGGAAGTAAAGATCATAAGTTTGGTTTTAATTATGCTGAGACACATTACCAACATTGAGTAACTGAAAGAATGGTAAATTGTAATTTAAAAACTGAGTTTAGTCCCTAATTCTTTGTTTGCTCTGAGATGTCATTTAACCTTTCTGAGCCTCAATCTCCTTTTCCATAATGTGGAAATATTTATATGATTACTACAAATGGCTGTTGTGTGAATCAAATGAGATGCTTTAAGAAGGAAAACAGATTTTTATGAAAACATACACAAAAGTCATAGAACATAGAAAGCCAAAGGAATTTTAAACAGAAAAGTTTAATCCCTGTAAGGAAGAAAGGAACAGTGAAAACCAAATTGGGCCTAGGAAGAACCATTCATATTATACCCCTAACCACCCCTCTAACCAGACCCCTCAGCTGTGTCCTGTGGAATTCCTGTTTTATTTCAAAGACAACAAATTCTAATTCTTCTTTTCTTCTCAAACACACCTTCAATCTCCTCAACCAACTGAAACTTGGCTTTTCCCTGAAGACACCACTTTTCTTGACACCATTCATATTGAACTGTCATTCTCCAAACACACCTTACACATTAAAATTTCCACATTTTTGTTCATATGCTATTTCCTTAGCCTGGAATTTACTTCCCCACCTCATTATCCAAATTCTAATGATCCATGAGGGACTACAACACCATATGCATTATGAAAGCTTCCAGGGTCCCTCACAAATGAATGGGATCTCTGCTTCAGAACCACTACAGCACATAACATGTACCTCCTGCCTCCCTTACTCCTTTTTAGTTTGCATTATACTTTTTGGCACACAAGTCTTATACTTTTAAATAGACTTCAATTCGAATCGTATGCATCTTTGTATTTCTGTGAAGTTCTGTATCAAAGTTAGTGCTCCTAAAATATTTACGCTGAACATGCACTCAATAAGCTTGACATGTTGAAACTTTTTAAAGGATGTGGCCATACTCACATTTTTTACTCTGTTTTTCTACTTCTGCCTTCAGTCTCTTGTATTTGTCTGTCCTGTAAACCAGGACCCAAGTTATGCCTGAAAAAGTAGAAGTAACATGCTCATAGGGAAATATCTGGGAATGTCACAACAAACTGTTAAATAGTGGTTACTGTTAGGGAAAGAGGGATATCAACTTTTTGCTTTGTATTTCCTCGTTGTTAACTTTTTCCAACTGTAAAGACAACTGACTTTTCAACCAAAACAGCTGTAATATCATGTGAAGGTGTCTACACATACACGGAAGTGAAACGTACTGTCGACCAAAGAAAATGAGGCAATCAATTCCACACTACCCCTCCTGCTCCTGCTCAGGAGTTTCCCCGAGGTCCCCTGCAGTACAGAATATGAACTTCCCAAGCAAGAATGGCTCGCGACCTTACTTCCCCGGTGACACGAGGGTCCCCAAGCCTAGGATCCTTCCCCCCAGGTAATAAACGAACGTCAGAGAAGTAGCCACTCTCACCCTCAGCGAGAAGAGCCGTACACACGGAGATAAAAACAATGAGTAGTGTGTCCGCGAACATGGTGCTCATCTCGCACCGCCGTCCCGGCACTCCCACCCGCGAGGGGGGGGGAAGCGCTCTAAAGGCAGGAAAAGTGAAGCGAAGATACTTCCCTAAATGCTGCGACCACCAAATAACACACTGACTCCGAGGACATCACACTTCCGTTTCCGGGCCACAGGGCCGGAAGAGCTTGTTCCGAAGACTTCTGTGGCCGCTGCTTAGCTAGCAGAAACCAACACGCAGCCTCAGAAGCGAAGGAACTGGCGCTGCGGCGTGATCTCGCGAACGGTGAAACTTGAGCAGCCGAGGGAGAATTGGCTGCGTGACATCTCCCGGTGGCATTTACTTGTCGTTTCGCTGTGTCGCGCCGCCTTGTCGTCCACAATCCAGTTATTTGGGCTCGTCTCAGCCGCACTTCTGTGGCCGATTTAGTCTAGGTTTGCCGTAAAGTAGAAAGATTGACTTCCACAAGCACGTACTGAACGCCTAGGTTAGGTGCCAGGGCCACGGACTTTGAGCTGGGAACGTGAAAAGGAAGACGTCTTGGGCTGCTGGATTCAAGGAGATCACGTCCTAGCGAAGGAGAGAAACTTGTACATACGGTGTGATGAGGGTTTTAATAGAGGTATGAGTAGAATGGTGCGCTGACACAGTTGAGAAAATTCGTTGGTGGGAAAGGGGTGGTCAGCAAAAGCTAATGAAAGGAATTGAAGCAGTGCGTTAAAGGAGTAGGAGTGACTTCGGAGAAAGAATAGAAGGATTTTCCAGGCAAAGAGGAAGGCAAAAACACGGATCCTTGTGTAATAGAGCAGTGAATGGTGTATCTAGAGAAGAGGCCATGAACCCAAATGTGTGCAGTGGTCAGATAACGTAAATGACGTTCAAAACCACCCAGAGGCGCCTCTGAAGACAGGTCTGGCGATTCTGAAAGGTCGCAGCCTTGAAATCCCCATGGCGCAGTTCTGCTCTGCACACCAGGCGTCGCTATGAGTCAGAATCCACTCCGACAGTACCTAACAACAACGATTTCATCTGAAAGGAGCAATTGATAACTCAACTCCAAAACAATTTCCCTGGGAGAATGAGCACCCAGTTTTGAGATTTTCCCATTTTTCAAGAAAGTCCAGAAATCCAGATTTTTACATGAACGTTCAACTTATAACCATTCAAACTTTAAAACACTGTGTAGGCCAAAGAAAATATCTTAGCAGCTTGGTTTGAGCCTATATAGAGGTTTTCAGCCTTTTCAAACTGCATGTGTGTGTGGATGAAAATGTAGTAGCTGGCTGAGCTGTTTCCCCTAAACTTGTACTATCTATCATTGGTTCCTTTCTCTTAAGCTCCATTAGGCTTTATGTACAGTTCTGTGACACCACTTTTGACCTCTTTTACTTGTATGTGTGTTTCTTATCTCTCTAGACAGCAGAGACCTGTCTCCTTTTAATAGCCGTTGTGGAACTTTTATATGTCAGGAATAGTGGTAGGCACTCCAGGGTCTAAGATGGTGATTAAGATACTATTCCTGACTTCCAAGGTTTCCTATGCAGTTTATACATTATAATAATGTATAATAAAGAGGTATTCATAGAATGCTATGGGAGCACAGATAAGGAAAGATTGCTTTTTCCTGGAGGAGTTAGTAAGGCTTCACAAACATCACAGTTCAGCTGGACTTTAATTTGAAAAGTTCAGGCAAGTAAGGTTTTTATTCAACTTTGTATCACCCAAGGTAAATGTTGAGATGCAGTAAGAGTATAACCTTTGAGTCAGACCTGGTTTTGAATTCTGGCTCCGTGACTTAATTGACATCAGTCTTTGAGCATATTTAACATCTTTGAGCTTCAGTTTTCTAGTCTGTAAAATGGTGATAATAACGCCAGCTGCATAAAACTGTTGTGAAGATTAAATGAGAGAGAGCATACTATAAGGCATTTAATGCTATGACTGGCACAATTCTTCAAATCCAAGATGCTATTGATTGTAAAATGCACCATTATTTTATATACTGCTAAGAAAGAAAGAAAAAAACCCTGCTAATTAAATCACAACACACCAATTGATTGTTTAAGATGCATTTCATTCAGAGATGTTAAAATGTGAAAAAAAAGTCTTAGAATCAATGAAATACAGTAATAAAAATCAATTATTTCTATGCAAATATTGTCTATTACCATGAACTATGCTAGCATAACATTTTGTTCTTTAGGGCAATGAAGTCATCACCGTATGTCCATCGATGAAGAACATTGCTAGAGACAAGTTCAGATAACATCTCCTTTTCTACATTCTACCAGTTTTCTTTATCATATTTCAAAATTTTTCTAAGCTCTCAGTATACTATCAAAGTTTTAGATTTCAAAATTTTCCTATGAATATCACCCTCCCAAAGCTCTCTGTCCTGCTCCAATCTCCAGGACTACTGTAAGGATTTTGTCTTACTATTCTGTAGGGTGAGATTCACTATTTCTGGCACTCACATCTTCCTCCTTAGTTTATACTTTCTTTATGCTGTGGTATATACTTAAGTAATTTCCTGTGGAAGATGAATGGGATCTAAACTTTCAATGTTCCTACATTATTAGCAGTATTAATAATACTGTTGTTTAAACAGATGTTTAATATTAGGCTAGGCATTGTAAAAGATACTTATAAAAGTTTAAATCCCTGCTTATACTCTAAGGTATGAAAAGATAGGCTTTAAGTTTGAATCCTAATCCCACAACTTGTGAGCTGTATTACTTTAGCAATTTATTTAATTTCTCTGAGCCTCTTTTCTTCCTTTTTTCTAATTTGTAATGTTTAGATAAAAATACCTACCTTCCAAGATTTTTGTTGTTTGGTGCCATTGAGTCGATTCCAACTCATAGTGACCCCATGTGACAGAGTACAACTGCCCCATAGGGCTTTCTTGGCTGTAATTTTTTTTTATTATTACTGTGCTTTAAGTGAAAGTTTACAGTTAAGTTAGTCTCTCATACAAAAATTTCTACGTACCTTGTTATGTGACCCTAGTTGCTCTCCCTGTACTGTGACAGGACACTCCTCCTTTCCATCCCAGATTTCCCATGTCCATTCAACCAGTTCCTGACCCTCTCTGCCTTCTCATCTCGCCTCCGGACAGGAGCTGCCCATTTAGTCTCATGTATCTTCTTGAGCTAAGAGGCACACTCTTCATGAGTATCATTTTATATCCCATAGTCCAGTCTAATCTTTGTCTGAAGAGTTGGCCTCAGGAATAGTTTCAGTTCTGGGCTAATGAGAGTCCGGGGGCCATACCTTACGGGGTCCCTCCAGTCTCAGTCAAACCATTAAGTCTGGTGTTTTTACTAGAATTTGAGTTCTACATCCCACTTTTCTCCTGCTCTGTCAGGGACTGTCTGTTGTGTTCCCTGTCAGGGTGGTCCTTGGTGGTAGCCGGGTACCGTCTAGTTCTGGTATCAGGCTGATGAAGTTTCTGGTTTATGTAGCACTTTCTGTCTCTTAGGCTAATACTTTTCCTCCTGTCTTTGGTGTTCTTCATTCTCCTTTGCTCCAGGTGGGTTGAGACCAATTGATGCATCTTAGATGGCTGCTCACTAGCTTTTAAGACCCCGGATGCCACTCACCAAAGGGTGATGCAGAACATTTTCTTAATAAACTTTGTTATGCCAGTTGACCTAGATGTCCCCGGAAACCATGGTCCCCAGACCCCCTTGGCTGTAATTTTTTTTTAATTTAATTTTTTTAATTGTACTGTAGATGAATCTTTACAGAACAAACTAGTTCTTATTAAACAGTACACATATTGTTTTGTAATTCTGGTTAACAACCAAATAACATGGCAACACTCTCCATTCTTGAGCTTGGGTTCACTATTACCAGCTTTCCTGTCACCTCATGCCTTCTAGTCCTTGTCCCTGGGCTGTTGTACCCCTTTACTGTCATTTTGTTTTGTGGGCCTCTCTAATCTCTGGCTGAAGGGTGAACCTCGGGAGTGACTTCATTGCTGAGCTAAGTAGGTGTCCACGGGCCATACTCTCAGGGTTTCTCCAGTCTCTGTCGGGCCAGTAAGTCTGGTCTTTTTTTGTGAGTTAGCATTTTGTTCTACATTTTTCTCCAGCTCTGTCCAGGACCCACTGTTTTGATCTCTGTTAGAGCAGTCAGTGGTGGTAACTGGGCACCATCTAGTTGTACTGGACTCAGTCTGGTGGAGGCCGTGGTAGTTGTGGTCCATTAGTCCTTTGGACTGATCTTTCCCTTGTATCTTGTTTTCTTCATTCTCTCTTGCTCCCAAAGGGGTGAGACCAGTGGAGTATCTTAGATGGCCGTTCACAAGCTTTTAAGACCCCAGACGCTACTCACCAAGATAGAATGTAGAACATTTTCTTTATAAATTATGTTATGCCAACTGAGCTCTATGTTCCTCGAGAGCACAGTCCCCAGAGCCCTCAGCCCAGCAATTCAGTCCCTCAGGGAGTTTCGATGTGTCGATGGAGTTTCCATGACCTTGCCTTGTACAAGTTGTGCTGGTTTCCCCAGTATTGTGTACTATCTTATCCTTCACCAAAGTTGCTACTTATCTGTTGTCTATGTAGTGTTTTTCCACCCCCACCCACTCCTCTCCCTCATAACCATCAAAGATTGTTTCTTTTGTTTGAGTTGTGTAGCTAAGTTTTGATTCTATCCCTTTCTTATTTTTTGATTTGTGCGTCTATTTCTGTAAATTGTCCTCTGAGGACTCCCTTTGCTGTGTCCCAAAGGTTTTGGTGTGATGTGTTTTTATTCTTGTTTGATTCTAGGAATTTTTTGATTCCATCTCTGATTTCTTCTATTACCAAGTGGTTTCTAAGAAGGGTATTATTCAGTTTCCATGTAATCGATTTTTTCCCTTGTTCTTCCTGTTTTCAATTTCTACCTTGATGGCATTGTGGTCAGAGAAGATACTTTGTATTATCTCAGTGTTTTGGATTTTGTTGAGGGGTGTTCTTCGGCATTAGATGTGGTCTATTCTGGAGAATGTTCCATGTGCATTGGAAAAGAATGTGTACTTTGCAGCTGTTGGGTGGAGTGTTCTATATATGTCTATGAGGTCAAGTTGGCTGATTGTGCCCTTTAGGTCTTCTGTATCTTTGCTGAGTTTCTTTCTAGATGTTCTGTCCTTTGCCGAGAGTGGTGTGTTGAAGTCTCCTACTGTAATTGTGGAAC